AATTAATATTTTTATTTGTCTTTAAAATAATTAAAAGATTGAAACAAATATTACATAAAATGCAATAAAATTATATATAAAATCACATTATCTCCATTACATTATAAAATATCAAAATCCAAACCAGTACTTTGATTGTGTGGATTTAATAGTGTTGTATCTGTTGTCTGTTGCATATCATTAATAAGCAAAATTTTAATAATGAAAGTATTTTTCTCAATTATTGCAATATTTCTTATTTTTAATATAACTTTTGCTGACGACTGTGGAGTCCATGTACTCGAAAAAGCTATTGAATTGTATCGCGATTTTCAAGCCCTTCGTGTCAGAGGTTGTCAGGACTGTAAGACTTTTATACTTATGTCTAAACTTATGCTTAAAACAATTAACTATTTTTTTATTACAGTAAAGATCAGTGTCGATACATATTCTGTTATTAAGAAAAAATGCATTCAAGATCTCGCCGCAAGCTTTAATCTAATTTCATATGTAATCTCTCTCTCTCTCTCTCTCTCTCTCTCTCTCTCTCTCTCCTGTTGTTAAGTCAATAATTTTTGCATGAATTAAATATTAATAATAAATAATATGTATAAACGATGCAATGGTTTCTTAGGAAAAAGTATACGAACTGACGCTAGACTTCTTGAGCACAGATTGCTTCCGGAAATCTGCGATCGAGACCTGCGATGACATTGAGTACAAGAAGTTGAGACACTGTGCCGTTGACTTCTGGGTCGACCACTTGGAGGTAACACTTCTCATAATCCTCTTAATACTAAATGCTTTCATAATATATAATATATTACTTACGGTTTAATAGGAAGGACTGGAATTGTATAGGAATGAGACCATTAGATACGGTGCTTATGGCTATTTGATTGAAGTTAAGGTTTGGCAACATTTCTAATAAATATTGTATACAAGTAACTAAATTATGAATTTCTATGTCAAAGGGATGCCTCCAAAAGAGTCTGGATGAGATAGAATCGGCACATAAATTGAAGTCAATTCAAGTGTGAAAAGCCTATCAACTGAATCCCACTTCCAATTATCAAACACAACCAATTTGTTGTCTAATTGTTCCGGGTTTATATACAGTATACCAATTGAATTGTCTGTTATTACATTTAATAATAAACTTAAATTTAATTGAATTAAAATATTAAACATAACAGGTAATACTATTTTACATAACAAGCAAAAATATTAGTATAAACAGTATTACTAGATGTAGTTTGAAAGTTTGTAAAATAGTTTTGAGAATAAAACTTTCAATTAAATTAATTAAAGTGTGCTTAAACTTGGATTTGCATTACATATGATATGATACAATATAATGAATATAATAAATGCATTGAATGTCACACTTTTGGTCAGTTATAACATATTTTTTGTATCAATCATTCAAATTAAAAACTGTAATTAAAATGATTGACACATTTCATGAAGTGTTGAACACGTGTTCAGCGTTTGTCTGTTGAATGCATTTCCCACTCATTTGCCGACATTTCACTCATTTGTTTGGTCTGTATTTCAAACACTTCGAGGAAAATATTGACCACAAATACAGACATTGTTTGAGAGATAAATTGTGGTCTAATTGATCCGATGGTGAACTGAGTGACAGTGTATGCGATGGCGGTTCATATGAATGCATTCATCCAAAGACTAATTGATATTCAATGCATTTATGTGCCAAAGGATGGTAACAAATGTATGGACACATTATCTATGAATATTTGG